AGTTATTCATATGATTGTCTTATTTTAATCAGCCACTACCATCTCATTTCAGCTTACTAATATCTAGAACATTGATCCTTATGTGTTAAACCTCATTTTTTCTGACTTCCATTTTTTAGATTAGTAATTGATACATTTTATGTTCTGATTATTAATCGATGCTGGCAGCTGTAAGTTCTCCTTTTGTATCATGCCCCATCAGCAAATGAAAGTCCCAGAGCCTTGACTCCATCCCGATCATTACAACAGGTTCTACTTCTTTTTTTTTTTTAAGTCATTTTATTGGTGACTCATACAACTCATCACAATCCATACATACATCAATTGTATAAAGCACATTTGTACATTTGTACACTTGTTACCCTCATTATTCTTTTTTTAAATTATTTTTGAGGGCTCGTACAATTTTTATCACAGTCATGAGTCAAGCACATATGTACACCTGTTGCCCTCATCAATCTCACAACATTTGCCCTCTACTTTAGCCCTCAATATGGTTTGCACATTTTCCCCCTCACCCTTCCCAGCCCACTCCCTCATGAACCCTTCATAATTCATAAATTATTATACTTTTGTCATAAGTTACACTGTCCAACATCTCCCTCCGCCCTCTTCTCTGCTGTCCATCCCCCAGGGAGGAGGCTATATGTAGATTCTTGTAATTGGTTCCCCCCTTCTACCCCACATTCCCTCTACCCTCCAGGCCTCACCCCTCTCACCGCTGGTCCTGAAGGAGTCATCTGTCCTGGATTCCCTGTGTTTCCCGTTGCTATCTGTACCAATATAGATTCTCTGGTCTAGCCAGATTTGTAAGGTAGAATTGGGATCATGATATGGTAGTGGGGGGGAGGGGAAGCATTAAAGAACTAGAGGAAAGTTATATGTTTCATCATTGCTACGCTGCACACTGATTGGCTCATCTCCTCCCCAAAGCCCCTCAGCAGGGGGTGTTCTGTTACCTACCGATGGGCTTTGAGTCACCAGATTCTACTTCTTAAGGCAACTCTTCCTCACTCATATTTTGTGCACCTTCTGGTCTAAGGGGCTAATCCTCCAGCACTATATCTGACAATGCTCATTGTTACTCAAGATTTTCAGAATATCAATAATGTTATGCTGCTATTAATAAGTTTTCCAGTGGCCAGAATAATTATATCTTTATTTTAAAGTATTTTTTAAAAATTCCTAGGCTTGTAAATTGGTAGACATATTTTTCAGCAACTTAAAGATACATTTCAGTTGTCTCTGGCTTCCATTCGTTCTTTGAAAAATTGATTGTGAAACTCATTATAAAAAACATTTTGCTGCAATCATTTATCAAAAGATTTACTACAATTTAGGTTGGTGATTTGCTCCATTAAGTTTGACGTTTTAATAATGTATTGTATTTGTTACTTGATTTCGTAAATAAGTTTTAGGAGGTTTTTTTTTACAATTTTTTTCAAGTATTGTTTCTGCTCTATTTCTATTTTACTGAGACTCCAATTATACATCTATTAGAATTTTTTATTTTATCCTATATGTATTCTAATTTTTATTATTTTTTAATAGTCTTCATTTTCTTCTCATGTTGATTTTGGATATGTTCCACTCACTAGTTTTTCTAGCTCACTAATCTTCTGCTATGTCTAATTTTCTATTGAAATCAGCTGAATTCTTCATTTCAGCCTGGTTTTAGTTCTAGAACTTCTATTTGATTTTTTTTTTCTATTTGATTTTTTAAAATGAGCTCTAATTTTTGGTGTTACTCTATAAGACAGGGTAGAACTGCCACTATGAGTTCCCAACACTGTAACTT